TTGATTCGTGAGCGAACTATGAAACATTCTGAGTTCGTCAATGGTTTTGCAATTCTTTAATGACTTAATCGCAAATTATCACATTTTCTTTTTTGGAAACCAAGTCACAATACGTTCAAGTAATTATTGTATCAAGTATCAGATAACGAGTCGGGACGAGTAACAGGGCAAGTATCAAAACAGGGCGAGTAACGGGGCGAATATCAGAAAAAAATTGTGATACTTGATATAACAAGTATTTATGCCCAGCCCTATATAGTATACTTCTTTCTTTTCTTTTGCATCTATCTTACTGGATTTGAACCAAACTTGGAACATAATTGAAAATAACTGGACGCCAATAGTAGAATCTACACAAGGGATTTCTGAGTAGTATTCATACATCATTGTTTATGAATGAATCTGCCACTGACGTGGCACAGACACTCCGTCCTTGGTAGTGAATGAGAACCTCTCCGGAATATCAATGCTTTCCTCCTCAAGACGATCATTATGAAAAGATATATTTGCTACGTCGACAATCTCAATCCAAACGAAAAACGTGTAATTGTCTGTATGCATTCATCTTTAACGAATTAATCGGAGATGACGATCGATGTTGTGGCTCTGGTTTGGAAGAAGCGGTCTCCAAATTGAGGTACCTAACTTCCCGAACATTCCCGAACATCGCCACTGTTGGCTCTTACTTATTCAGTGTCGTCAATTAATAAAATCTTTGGTCACTTTGAAACACCTCAAGTAATCAACATCATCATTGGATCAATAGATTTTTGTGAAGTTTTTGATAAAATATCAATGTCAAAATCAAAACTAAAACTGTACAACACAACACAAGGAAGAAAGTAACTACAGTAAAACCTCTATAAATTAATAATGTTGGGACCATGAAATTTTATTAATTTAGAGAGGTATTAATTTATCGATAAATTAATAATTATTAATTTATAGAGAGATTTTACTAATTTTGTAATTTTTTAAACAATTCTATCTAAAAATAATTTTTTTTATTAGCAATATCTTTTTAAAACCAATTACAAGTAGAGAAGCAATTATTAAGTTTTAAAACAACACAAACTTTTTTTGAATAATAGAGTCATTTTTGATTAAATACTTTACTTATAATATTTATATATATCATAGTAATTTATATATGACATATATAAATTTATCTCATGTATATATATATATATATATTAAGTTAAATATACACAAATATTTATATATATACATATATTGATAAGTTTATACAATTATTAATTTATGATATAGATGAGATCATATGTTTACATGGGATTTTCAAAAAAATTATTATCTTATTAATTTATCGATTTATGTCATATTTTATACTAGTCCCAACTCGGGACCGGAAGAATTTATTAATTTAGAGAGGTTATTAATTTATAGAGTATTAATTTATAGAGGTTTTACTGTATAAAGTACCAAAAAATATTATTCATTAAATCATTCAAAGACATTGTCTTCAGAAACAAATAGGTTATAGAACAGAACACAAGTATCTCGAGACAATATCTTCTTCATAAAAAGTTTCAGAAACGTAAACAAGTTAAATAGACACGAACGATTAAACAATAATCAACCCAAGTAAATTAGAAACAATGCGTATTAAGGTATACATTGGTCTTTAAACCCACAAAAACGAAGAAAAAAAGAAGAAGAAGAGGTGTGTGCAAGAAATCACTTGCTTAATTATTTTCTTCTACCTTAATGGATTTGAAACAAACTTGGAACATAATTGAAAATAACTGGCCAGCAATCCGGGCCACAGTATTCTCCACTCAAATCGGCTTCTGATATAGAAAGGGTTTCCGTGTAATATTCACGGTCCTCTCCAATAGTGTATACGTATACCAAGTACCTCTCCGATAGGTCCTCGGTGGTGGTAATTATACTACGTATATTAGAACACAAGGACACTTTCTTCTCCGCATCGATTAATAGAGTCGTGAAAATATCAGTAAAATTAGGGCCACTAGGATAATCCACTGTAAAGGATTTGCTCCACAACAACTCGGATTCAGCATCAATTTTATTGGTTACCCACATTTCAATCGTTGATGTATTATAGCTCCAATTTAATACTGAAAGTTGTTCTTCTCTACCAACTGATAGAGTCACACGACCATGATTCTGAAATAGCGGAAGACATAGACGTTTAAATTTTTCAGCTGTAAAATCAAAACTGAGTAAGAGTTTACACCCTTCTTTTTCATCATCAGCAAGCCAGTAAGTATTTCCTTTCAAAGACGACACACTAGTATAGCCATATAGTATGGGGCTATAGAGGACGTCATCAATAACCCTCCATGAATCAGAGCTAAATTCATATATTTCACACCTTAAAACTTGGCAGCCTAGTTTGACATCGCAAAAATTCCACCACCTCAAGATTTTGTAGCTACGGCAAGATTTGTTGTTCTGGATATATCCTAGAGCAAACCTGGAGCGTTTTGTCCCGTAATAATCATAACAGGAGCCCTTTATCTCGTAATCAACTTTGAGTTGGATCCACCTGGTTTCCCCCAAACACGGATTCCAAACCACGAGTCGATTTTTCTTGGTTTTGCATAACAACAAACCATCACAGTGAAAAACTTGGACTATATCAACTTGTTTTGAATTAGAATGGGAATCCTTTAGGCCAAGTGCACCTTTAAACTCTATAGATGGAGGAGCAACGTTGAGATTGACGCTCATTCGACAAACCCTATACTCATTCAACATGAGAACCATAGAGTCCTTTGTAGCAGCTATACGAAAGTGCTTCTCGGTGAATCTTTGGTTTTTAAATAAAGCGTTCCATCGTCTGCAAGTCGCTCGTAGTCGTATCAAAGATGTGGCTGGAACCCTTGCGAGTATTTCATCTACCAAATCCAAAGGAAGATCAGACTTCATCATTGTATCTCTATTTGTGATCTGATCTCCCAACGACGAAGAAAGCGACTCGGCCGTCCCTGTAAACAGATATTAGGGTTTTTTTTTATATTTAACACGTTTGTCTTAATATATCGGAGGTTTTAGGCCCAAGCCCATTTAAACTCCTCGCTGCAGAGAAATTTAGCATTGGCTCTCATGGTGTTTGCATTAACACTTAAATCAGATTTTTTAAATCTGTTATAATTTGACACTCATCAAAATCCATTCTTGTTCCCCACTGTTAATTTGGGTAGACAATGACCAGTTTGCGAAAGAGAAAAAGCTAGTTGCCTCTTTCGCAAGGTACAAAACAGAGGAAATATGCCCTAATTTCATCATCGTTTATATGGTCGCAAGGGAGAACCATGCTGGAATCTCAACACCTTCCTCTTCAAGACGATCCGCAGAAGGAGTAATCAAAGTATTGTCCTCAACCTTTAAAACAGTCAAAATTTATGAAAAAACGTTATATACTTCAGCTACAAGCTTATTTTGAATTTGTCTCGAATGTAACAAAAACAGTTTTAGAGTAACTAAATTTATAAAACAGTTGTTTTTTTAGCTAATAAACTTGAATGTAATGCAAAAAGAAATGAATCATAAAACGACTTAATGCAATAGTTGTGCCATTGAACCGTGCGCTCGCTCTGGTTTGGAAGAAACGGTCTCGAAGTCAAGGACATCATTGGAGAGAGGTGAAGAGCATTCCCTGACATCACCATTGTTGGACAATTACAGATTCAGTATGGACAATTCTAAAAATTTCGTCACTTTTGTAATCAAAGCTCCTCATGTAAAACATCATCATCGGATCAAATATATGTAAAAAAAATTCTTTGATTAAAAACTAGCTAACGCAAAGAAGAAAGGAATCATAAAGTACCAAAAAGTATTTATTAAATTATTCAAACGACATTGTCTTCCAAAACAAAAGCTAAGAAAAAGAGAGAGGACACCTTACTCGATTTGAACCAAACTTGGAACATAATTGAAAAGAAATGGACTCCTATTTCTTAAACTTGTTTTGTTTGTAGATTCTACGTAAGGAATTTCTCTGTAATATCCATTGTCCTCTCCGATAGTCGATACCATGTACTTGCTGGTCTCATCATCATCACTAATATTACAACACAAGGCAACTTTCTTCTCCTCGTCAATTAATAGACTTGAGAAAACTCGAGAATAATTACGGGGAGTGTCTACGTTCACTGCAAAGGATTTGCTCCATAACAATGTAGCATCAGTATCAATGTTATTGGTTATCCATATCTCCATCTTTGATGTAGTACAGCTCCAATTTAATATTGAGAGTTGTTCTTCTCTAACAACTGATACAACCATGTTATCAACATCTTGGAAATGCGGAAGACACAGACATTTAAACCTCTCTGCTCTAAAATAAAAACTGAGTAAAAATTCAGAGTTTTCTTTATGATCATAAGCATGCCAGTAAGTATTCCCCTTCAAAGACACGCCATGTCCTATTATGCAGCAGTTGTGATCGACGTCATCAATAACTCTCCATGAATCAGAGCTAAACTCATATATTTCAAAGCATTTGATACCAATAATATTACCCCACAGCCTCAAGATTTTGTATCTACGGCAAGATTTGTTGTTTTGGATATATCCTAGAGCAAACCTGCAGGAGCTGTGTCTCTCGTAATTATCATCTTTGAGTTGGATCCACCTGGTTTCCCCCAAACACGGATTCCAAACCACGAGTCTATTGTCTTTGGTTTTGCATAACAACAAACCATCGCAGTGGAAAATGATATAGTAAAAGAGAAGAGTAAGGGACACGTGTACGGTAGAGATCAGAAACTGGATTCAAGGGCTGAGATTGTTTGGATCTCTAACAGAAGAGAGAAGAAACGTTAAAAGGAAGCGAAGAAGAAAAAATAATCACTTGACTGTATTTGTTTTTCTACATAAGATAAGTGATTTACCCTAAAACGAAAATCTCTAGTTCCACACACATTTAGGTGAAGGATCCTTGAAAACTCATTTCAGGTCAAAGATGAAATGTCCACATAAACATAAGTTTATTCCATCACTTTCAATAATACAACTTATCAACTTTAATTTGTTTACAGTACATTAATAGAAATATGCTTACATCAACATCATACTATATATCGCTTAATCCCGCAACGACGAGACATTACACATATTATCTATCATACTCATAACCACAAAAAGCACAGATTAAACACCCTAACTTACATATAAAAGTTAAGTAGATTACACAATTACACTTGCGTTATTAATATTGTACATCTGAAACTCCTTCCTGACATCACAAGTATATAGAAACTCACCGTTGACAAGTCTACTGCCGGAATTTGGGTTTTGATGCTGCGGGAGATTCGCCTGAGAGAACTTTAGCAATGGCTCTGATGGTGTTTGGAGTAGTCCGACAACATCCTCCAAACAGAGATGCTCCTGCATCTCTCCATTTACTCACGTACGACACAAAATCCTCCTCTGACTCTCCCTCTGACTTCTGCATTAATACATAAAAAGCCTCCAAAATCAGATTTCTAATTTGTGTTTTATTACAATTGATATAAAGAACACTCACAATCCATTTCTTGTTCAGACCATCGTAGATTTCCCCGCTATTTGGGTACACAACGATCGGTTTGCGAGTCACCTGGTAAAAGTAATGACCAGTTGCTTCAGCCGCAAGGCACAAAACAGAGTAAAAGAAAAAAAAACCCTAATTCCACCATTGTTTATAATTACCTGACGCAAGGAGATAATCAAATCGTGAATGTATCTTGGTGCAGTACAATTGATTCCAATGGCCACCACTTTCGTGCAAGAATCTGCCACTTTCGCACATTCTACAACCGAATCTCCTCGTGGCACAGTAACTCCATCCTTTGAAGTGAACGAGAACCATGCCGGAATGTTGATGTCTTCCTCAAGAAGATCCGCATAAGCCTATCATACGTGAAAAACGTATACATATTATTACCAATATATATTTATATAGGTGGTCTACACTTATATCATGTAACAACTACAACTATGCATGTGAATATGATCACAACCACCAAAATGCAACCATTGGACTAAAACTACTTAATAGTTAGTTAAAAACTTGACCACTAGAATACATGTTCTTGTCATTTTGTTGGTTTAGTTAACAAATAAAAAAAACTTTAGATACCTCTGCTTCGAGTTTATTTGGAATAGTCTCGAATGCGATGAGATCGGCTCCAGAGTTTGCCAAGATTTGAACTCTTCTTCTATGGAAGTCCTTTAAAGTCTCCTTACTCACAGAATCTCCATATATCCCACTACAGGACAATAATGAGGGATGAAATTAAATTTCTGTAACAGACCAAAACATTACATTTCAAATTTTATACCCAAATGGCCAAATGTAACAAAACGACTAGGATTTATCAAAGAACCTGTATTCAGAGCCGTCAGCGAGATAAGCTCCATAGCTACCAACGGAAGCTGCAACAAGAATAGGTCGCCGGGAAGCTTTTCCGGCGTAGACGAAATCCCATGAACCCTTGGTGCATCTGTTGTAGAAAATCTCACGTGCCTCGTACGTGATTTCAACGCTTCTTCTAAGTAAACTTTCCGCTTCTCCCACAGATAAACCTTTTGCTACGAATCCTTGGATCGTCGCCTGTGTAATAAATTAATTTGATGCATTTTGGAACTAATTTTCTTTTTTTCTACCACACAATTACTTCAGGCAACCAAAACAATCAAACTCTTTAGTTAATAGGCCAAAATACCTGGTAAGATGCGGTTATGATGATATTTGCTCCAGATTCAAGGTAATCTAAGTGCACCTATTAGAAGAAAAATAATATACAGTAATTATATGTTGAAAAAATATTTCTGATATGTTTATGAAAAAAAATCTTATGTTTTATCTATGGTTGTAACAGATATAAGGAGTAGTTGTAGACTTGTAGTTTTAACTTATTTGCAGAAATGAGTAATAAAAATCCCTGAGACAATGGAAAAGAAAAGTAGCTAGTCAAAGTGTCGTAATTAGTAGTCCGTAATTTTTATGTTTTATCTTTTTCTTATGTTTTCTTTGTATTCTTCTTTTGTACTCTACACGTCAGAGACCCATCGTGAATCAATTAAAGGTGTTACTAGAAAAATGGAGTGACAATCTTGTAAACGTCGTGGTGTATACGTACACGTTAGTGGCGTAGTGTTACTAGTTACAACGTGGCATATAATTGTTTCTTATCTACAATCTTGCACTAAAATAAACGGAACGAGCACTACAAGAAAAACGTATATTGATAGCGCGGAAAAACTGCTATTGTAGGTAATACATAGCGAAATTACAACTGCTATGATCTCGGCAGCTATGGTAGATGCCCCACCTACGATAGCATTAATTTTGTCTGCTATAGTATGTTCATATACAATAGCACTTTATTAGTGTTATTATTTAATTTTTCATAGCAATAATTTAATGCCATTATTTAGTTGTTCATAACAATTTATGAATTTTTCCAATTTTTTCTTACAATTTGATTTATATAATTCTTATATTTGAATCCTGATTTTAGAATTTATTTAATTGGATAGAAAAACTTTAATATTTCATAAATTTTGAACAATGTTTACATAACATCATACCAATCATTATACTAATTAACATCGAAAGTATACCTAAGTCTTAACCAAAATAAAACTAACATCATAAGGATAAACTAACTTCTTGAGATATAACCCATCCATTGGCTGCATATAATGACCGTCGAGACACGAGTCCATCAGCATGAGGAAGTTCTTCCCACGAATCAGATCAAGCGCCTGCAGAACAATGGTAGAGCATATGGAACTTAATCAACTTTTTCTGGGATCAAGGAGAAGAAGCTAATAGATCAAGAACTTCCTTCCAAGAAAAGTTGAGCCATGTATGGTGCTTGTGAATGGTGCACTTACATGGCTTGGTGGTATGTGTTTGCCGCTGAGAAGATCTAGCAACAGCGTTCCAAAGCTATAGACCACGCTCTCCGGAATCACTCTCCCTTAAGAGATTAATATACACACATTGATTCATCGGATCAATAGCATAGCTTTGACAAACAGCAAACACATAACTTGACCCCACTGCATCTCATATCAGTAACTGACCTGTTCTTAGATATTCAGGAGGTGTGAAAGCCAAATTTGTACTGTAACTCTTCCCATCCCTACTATTCTTCATAAGACCGAAGCAAGATAATCTCGGGTTACCATCCTGTAATCAAGATTATAGAAACATTATCAGAATCCCAAAACAGTAACTTATACTAAAAAACAAACATAAATGTAATCAACAGCAAGAAAGAGACAAAAGAGACAGATAGTAAGCTCGAGATGGACCTGGTCAAACAAGATCCTGTAAGCATTAAGATCGTGATACAAGGCGCGACCTTTGCTGCTGCAATACTCAAGTGCTTGTGCAAGATACAAAGCCACTCTCAACCTCATAGACCACTTCATTGGCTGGCTATCCCCTACATATCATCACACATTTATTAAGTTCCACCATTCTTTTGCAGACAAAATGGAATTCTCACACCAAATAGTAACGAAAACGATGATTCTTTCATCATAAATAACATATGAGCATTTAAAGTCTCGATCTTTTGTTCAACAAGAAAATCAAAAAACAGGAATTTCCAACTAAATCTACTAAACACTGTGTTAGAACAGCTGCTACTCGATCTCTTAAAGATGATGAAAAGCCTTACAATGGAAGAGATGCTTAGAGAGAGTTTCAAAAGGCATAAACTCAGCAACGAGCAATCTCTCGTCTCCTTCACAACAGAATCCAATCAAATTCGCCAACCTCTCATTCCTCAACTGCCCAACAGCTTTTGCTTCTTCCTAAAGATCAATCAAATGAAACAGTAAACACCACAACAATAAACCACCAAATGCAGCAAGGTTTTAAATTGAAATGTAAATGATAGAACCCATCAACGGAAATGAGTAAAGGAATCAAATTTATGAGAGTTCGTACAAGAAATTGACGAGTATCAGGCCAAGCGGATCTATTGAAGCGTTTAACAGCGATCCATCGGTCATCTTCAAGTCTGCCTTTATACACAACATTAGGAGCTTTAACACCATGTTCGGATACGATACTGTCTGTAGAGAATCCACAAGTAGCAGCTCGTAGTTGGTCGAAACTGAACTCAGTGAACGACGGCAAATCGTCTGTTCCGTTATCTGTCGGAACAAAAACTCAAACTTTGTTAGCAGAGAGTGTGAAAATGCGGGAAAGGTAGAGACTTTAAGTAAGAAGAAGTGGTTATCACCTAGATCAGAAGCGTCGTTGTGAGTTGATTTGAGATGGGTCGGCCACCAACAGAGAGAGAGCTTAGAGCAACGAGGTCCCATTTTGAGTTTCAAAGATTTAAAGGAAGATTGAAAGATTTCTTAGCTAAAACTCGAAAAGCAAAAACCCAATCGCTCTGCGTCTCCTCGAGCTGCTCCGCCGCAGCCTCCCTCACAAGCATAGACGGCTCCCTCATCACACGTCCGCTACTCGCACACCTCAGAAACCTCGCCGATTCTATCGAAACTTTATAGAACTGTCACGACACCGAATCAAAAGAAATAAGTACAATAGAAGAAATAAATCAATTGAGTAAGATACACATGCCTTCAATCGGAGTTCTATCCGGAAAATAGATCTGAAATTATGGCCGACGGTAAGTTACACAGCTAGCGGGTATGAATTTAGGGCAGAAGTGTTAAGCTTGAGGGTTTAATTTGTGGCTAGATGATGGAGTTAGTGTGTATAAGAGATTTTAGGGCAGAATTGTTAAGCTTGAGGGTTTTCGAGCAAGTGTTGAAATGAAAAGAGATAGAACAAAAGAAAAAGGAGAAAATAAGAAAAGAGCTCGAAAAAGTGAAAAATTGGCTAAGTAATTGGCGGAGTAAGTGAAAAAAGTTTCCCGCTTACTAAAATTATATCTTAGCGTTTATGCACTGCTATAATATCAAAACCAAATTACAACTTTATCTTCGATAGCAATTTCGAAAATCGTGCTATAAAACAGTGCTATCAATGTGAGCTTTTTTTGTAGTGGAGTTTCAGCCAAAACATAAAACTTGATAAAAAGGAAAAAAAACAAACTCGTTGCAAAGAAATAAAACCATGTTTATAAAGTTAATAAAATCAAGAATCTAGCTAAAATATGTTTGGACAAATACGTTATTTTGATTCTATTTAATCTGTTCTCCGGAAAAACCGCCCCACAATGCTCTTTTGAAATTGTACGCAAAAAGTAAGTAACAGGAGCTAAAACAATTAACAAGATAAGATGAAATTAAAATTAAAAGACACAAGACCGGAATCTTATTAGAACCGTTTATTCTCTTTTTTTGTCTTGATAAACTGTCCTTTTTCCGTACGTAGGTTCTCGCACAATATTAGCATTCTAGAAATACTATCTAAACGGACTTCCGTGTATGAAACCATAGTGACTAATCATTATTTAAAATCACAGCAAGAAAATTAAACCAGGTTATTCAGTTTTGAGAGTCCATCATTCAATAACTAGCTAGATCATTCTTTACGTTTTGCTTAATATGAGAATTAATTTCATAGAAGAAATAAATATATGTCAAAGTACGACTAAAACCATCTTAGAATAAGAGTAATGAATTTCTACATAGATTATATATATGTGACCTTTGTAACAAGGTGAGGAGAAGTAATAAGACACTTAGCACTCCAAAGTGGATCATTGATGTCAGCTCCGTGGCGTTGTAGCTCCGTCGCAAACCCTCCGTCTACCACCGCATAACCGCCACACTTCTCCAAAAAATCCGTCATCAACGACGACGTTTCCTCTTTCACGAAAGATCCCATATTGATTTGACTATAAACAAAGTGTGTACGTCTCTATTACCGAGACAAGTACTATATAGAAGATGAGATGTTATCTTTGATCGTGAGATTCATATGGTTCTTGTTCCACGATATTAGTAAGGTTTTATATATAGGCCAAGATATGGGAAATGTTGAATGACACATATATCCCTTATGGTAATGTTGGTAAATATAGTTGTGGATCGACCAATATGTTATGTACCGACCTATAAGCTTTGTAATGAGGAAAACGAGCGAATTATCTTCAACAGAAATTAAAATAGTACTAACCAAAAGTAGATAATTGTGTTAACAAAAAGTAAGTGGATATTTTAATGAGTAAACTTTGGATCAGACAGCAACGTTACATGTGAGTATGTGACTCCTTTGCCTGCCGTGTGGGAAATCACCAATCCAATTATGTGCCACGTTATAGGTTGTTTATACACTTTATACACCTCAATATTTTGTCTCTCCCAATTTGCGTAAATGTAAATAAACTTATTTCTCTGTTAAAATACGTGGTATCTTATTTATTAGGTTTCTTGAATGCGTTGTTTTTACAATATTTTATCTTTTTAATTAGTCATCTAATTATGTGGATTTGTTTTTCCATAGTGGAATGAGTGAACTTCTTTTTCAACCCTGTGATCCGGATATATCCGATCGACTAATTCAAGAGTGAACAAAACGGCCAAAACATCTTGTCCACCAAATTTTCATTTGGACTTTCGACCTAATTCCAATTGACCACGTGCATTTATTTTTGTTTTCAGATTCAGAAAAGAGTGAATATAAATCATGCTTCTTAAGTTATAAGCCTCAAATCACAATAATTCTAGTTGTGTGGTATCATATCGAGACTAAAAAATAAATATACGCCAAATAATTGTTTAGTAACATGTTTATTGCATTCAATCTATCATCTTCCATTCTATCTAATGTAATTGGTTGGATTTGTAGGTGAAAGATGCATCTTCTCCTGACAGATGGCAGGTGCAATTGTGTCGATAAATGAGGAACATGAAATGTAGGGAAGAGTTCAGAGGAATAACTAGTTTGCACTATTGAAGCTAAGAGAAGGTTCTGAGCAAGATATGAAAAACGCGATACCAAAAAAAAGATATGAGAAATGCATCTGCTCAGAAGAACCGCGAAGAAAGGTCGAACAAACCAACCCAAAAGTTCCAAGAAATGCAATGGACTACCGTTAAGGGACGCGGAAAACCGTGGTCGAGGAAGCGAAGGCGGACGAAGATTCACCAACTAGTGACATCTAGTGAGATATCTCCTCTATTGATACTCCCTTTCTCTGACTTATGATTGTCTTTAAAAACAGGATTAAGTGTAACCTTAACCTTAACCTTAACCTGAAAATTTGCACTTTCTATGTATATTGGAAACATAGAGGACTTAACTTAACATAGTCGTTTCAAAAAAATGTTATATGATTTTCCGATGTATATTGGACCAAACACCAATATTCATATTCACAGTGACAGAAATAACAATAATGTGTATATATATTGATAATGAAAAACTTTTTTTATCTTGACAGATTAAGAAGAAGAAAAAAAAACAGAGCATTGCTCCAAAATTCAATGTGAATGTAAGTAAGTAAATAAAGGTAAAAGGAGAGAGAGGGGGTAAATTTAGGGACCACGACCAGATACAAAGCAGAAACAGGCAGGTCTCTGATCTTCCGGGATCATTCCACCGCCTTTGGAAGTGTCGACAGCTTCAAGCAACCTCACCACTTCCTCCATCTCCGGTCGTTTCTCCGGATTAGCTTCCCAACATCTCTTCATTATGGTCGCCAATGATGTTGGACAACATCTTGGAATATCCGGTCTCAAATTCTGTTCAAGAAAAGACAACAATCTCCGATAAAACTATAAACCGTTATAAACTGACCTAAACCGGATTAACTAACACTATGAAATTCCAAATGCCAAGAGAGACAAACATAAGTTACACAATTTTCCAAATTTCATAACATTGAAAGATTGAGAATTCTGTTTATATGAAAGTTCCACTGACCTGACGAACAACAGCAGAAGAAACATCAGCAAAGCTGAGATCAGGATAAGGCATATCACAACAGTAAATCTCCCACAAGCATATCCCAAAGCTATAAACGTCACATCTTCTGTTGTATGGCTTACCATCAAGAACCTAATCAGAGTACTTTAAATCAGATTTTGAAACCAAAAAACCGCATTACCGCATTTTTGTCTTACGCAATTTCTGTTTTGTGTACCTCTGGAGCCATGTATCCAAGAGTTCCAGTTTCTCCAGTCATGTCTTTTGGATTCTGAGCTTCAACTCTAGCTACTCCAAAATCAGCAATCTTAAGATTCCTCTGATAATCCAAAAGCATATTCTCTGTTTTCACATCGCGATGAACAATTCTCTCCGAATGCAAATAACTTAGCCTGTACAGAATAATCTCATCATCATGATTGTAATCACAAGTTGCTTTCTTGAAGTATAAAGAATTGAGTTTTTAATACCCTCTAGAAAGATCGAGAGCGAGTTGAACCACGACTTTAAAAGCGAGTTTCTTTCGCCTGTTACGGAACAAATACTGCTTAAGAGTTCCTCCAGGAATATACTCCACAACAACACAACAAGCTCGCTGAGGTAACGAGTTCTCCGTCTCAGCTGATGAAGGTATTTTCAAATTCGTTGTTCCCATTGATGCTCCCACAAACTGTTTTTATCCATAAAGACTCATTACATACATACACACAAAGAGAGACCACTAAAGATGTTATTATTATTACCCTTGTGACATTAGGATGGTCAAGTTTGTGCCAAACCGCAACTTCTTGACGAAATGAAGCACGTAAAGCAGAAGTCTCAGCCGTTGTCGCGTAACCATCTTCTCCCCAATCAAGCACTTTCACTGCCATTAACACAATACCAACACTAAGCATAAAACATTTCACAATCACAAAGTTTCAATATTTGTGTATTATTTCTCACCTGCAACATCTTGACCATCATAGATGCCTTTGTAGACAATACCATAAGCACCACGAGCAATGACATTCCTCATCTCCAATTTAGCCAATTCAATTTCCCATTCCTCCTTAGGCTTAGGGTGCTTCTCAATGCTTCTTGACCAAACCCTACTCAGATGTTTCTCTAGCTGGATGTCCAAATTCTTCAAATCAATCTTATCAGCTCGAAAAATCATGTCTTTCTTGCTGTTGTTTCCAACAGCTCCTCTGTTTCTGAGGTTGTTTTCCGGTGAAGCTTTTGTCTCGTTTCTTGTTTCCATCTCTTTTTTCTTTTCTTTTCTTGTAAAACAATAATCTCAGAGACACACAAAACTCAAATAACCCTAAATTTAATCAGACTTACTCAAGCAATCACCAAACACAACCCAGAACTAATCAAAATTTTCATCATTATCAATTTTTTTTTAAGAGAATTTAGCAAATATATTAAACAATGAATTGGTGCAGAGAACCTGAATTTTTTCTTTCTTTGTAAGAATTTGTTTAAACTATTACACCAACCCCAAGTTCTTGCACACGTTCTTCTGACATTCCAGATTCTAATACGACATGAATACTAAAAATAAAATAAAAATAAATTTAGCGTTGAAATTCAATAATTTTTATAAAAATAAGAGAAAACCAAAAATGCGAAAAGCCAATAATTCAACAAGAAATTTTCTTTATAAAAAGTAAACCCTAAGACACCGGCTCGTCGTCCACTATTATCATTGACCCAGAAAAATTATAAAACACTAATATTTTTTTTCTATATTATCGTAAATAAGATATACTAAATTTCAGAAATCAACTAGACCATGCAAAAAAACACAAAACCCAGAAGAAAAAAAATCTGAAAATTTGGTAGAAGTTTTTTCATCCAAAAACAAATATTTGGTAGAAGAAGAGATTTGAGGATTTAGGTGATTCCTCCTCCGAAAAACAACCTCAGAATAAAAAAAACAGAGGATCAAGGAGAGATCTGAGAAAAAAGAATCTAAAGAGAGCGAAGAAAAATGAGTTTAGGAAACGAAGAAGGAGAGGCTGAGAGTGAAAGACGGAAGAAAAGAAAAGAATGGCTTAATTTGAGTCAGGCTGGTTTTAAGGAGACGTATTTGCTATTTGTTTCTCTACTCAGAGAAAAATATTGACCTATTTTGGCAAAAATATACAGAATCAATGTACCGATAGATTTATATTCGTTTTTTATAAAGACAATTTGTTTAAGCCGTTGAAATTTTATCGATTTATTTTTAGTCCAAATAAGTCTGTTAGTGGAATGGTAATATATATTATCAAAAAACTCCCTACCAAAAAAAATATATATTATCAAAAAACTTGATGGTAAAATATTTTTCTTCCCTTTTTTAGAAGATATTTTATTTTAATGGGTGCAAGAATATCTTACCTTTGTTTTTGGGAATGATTGAACTAAAAATTTGAACGGTTCTATGGTTTGAGCGCTTTGCACTACAATAAATAATAATGAAAAATTGCTTTGTGATATTTGGAAGTCATATAACATTAACAACTATTTATTTTCAAATTTTTATTGCATTTTGTATTGTGGTTTTATAAACAGTTTGTAAGCCCCAACTTTACAGTCCTCGTATTTTTCTATGAAGATTAAAGACCTTTTTCATGTTCTACATTTTTGTAAAAATAAATATATTATAAGCTGTATTTTAGTTTATATTCATTGTTTTGTTTTGTTCAAGTACTCTCTAAATTTTACATCTATTTCGTGAATTAGTAGTTAGTACAGCCGTGAATTAGGATGTCAACAATTATTATTACAACATCTTCTAAATTTAGCTAAACATGTGAAATAACTCGCAGATACGGTAAATAAATAGTACTTTAGAAAATCACAAATATAATGTTAGAGGTAGCCCGTTAGACTAAATTACTCATGTAGTCAATGTACTTTCGCCGTACCGAAGAGAATGCTTTCCGAATTTTAGGAGTTTTTAGATTCGAAAACTGAATTCACGTGTTACAAAAAAAAAATGCTTGTAATAATGTGGTAATGTTATATGGTCGTCGAGTATTATTTTCTAAAAAAAAATAGATTAAAATATTACATCTAATTAAATAGTAATACAAATAAATCAGATTTTTATATATATTATTTATTTTCTGTTTTTTGTTTTGTTTTGTTCAATTAACACATTTATAGATGATATGAGTAAAATCACTTAACTATACAAATTTATATATAATCTAATGATGCATACTAATATTTTTGTTAGTTATTTTTTAGATTTAAATTTGAGTGTGTGATTTGTAGACTACCAGAAATAGCTATAAGTAAAATTCGATTACTTGATTTATTTATAACTATTTGCAAGTGTTTCATATTGTTATTTTTTTCAACTACACCGAAAGTATTATATAATTTATTATCGTTAACGCGTGTCCTTTCGCATGTTTGTGTGGTTGTGTCCATTATTCCCCACTGATATGTTGCATTTGATATATTTGTCCTTACAATCCTAATTAAGTTATTCTTTTTTGATCAAATAGTATTTAATCTAACAACTATATAAAAATGCTCAAAAATCTAATAGTATTTAATCTTTAAGATTTTGAAATGCTTAGAAATCTGTATTTTTGTTAAAAAATCACATCATATCTTTTTTTAGAAAGCGATTATATATTGAACCATATGTAGGTCCATATTTACCTCTTGTATATTAATTTACATAAAGAAATAACGAAAAGAAAGTATAAAGAAGAAGAAGTGAAAGAGTACGATACGTACAAGGTTAGGTACCTTCTAATAATATTCGTTGGTTGTGTTTTGTCGTGGAACAAAAGAGATAAGGTTTGACATCTTTGTGTATCTATTTGCGAATTTACAACTTTGTCGCCTCTTTCATTTATTATTATTATTATTTTGCTTTACAGATAAGATTTCAATTTAAAACAACAAAAACACTCAATGGGTTCCCTTTTGAAAATTTTATTCGTAATCACGATGATGATTACTAATAAGTAATAATAATATTGTTATGTCGGATGTACATGAATTTCCAACTTAATAATCAGTTCCTCTATTTTAAAAGATACTCCCTCCGTTTTAGTTTAGTTGTCGTTTTAGGATTAAAATTTTGTTTCATAATAGTTGTCGTTTTAGGTTTTCAATGCAAATGTTTGGTAAAAATTAATGTTTTGTCATTAATGTTTTAATGTTTTGACCAATGAAAAAATTATAAAATATATTAATAAAGGGTAAAACAAAAAATTTAATGATTTTCTTAATTTGTGTGCAAAAACCTTAAACGACAACTAAAACGAAACGGAGGGAGTATGTAGTAGTAGTAGTAGTAATTTAGAATTTTACATATCCATAAATGTTAAAGTTAATTTTATAAGTTTTTTTTTTTTTTTTTTTTATTGAAACTGCTAAGCTAGATTTTGTTTCTTTCAACTTTTCCTTAGTTTTGACTACTGTAGTTGAGACTTTTGGTAAAATTCTGTAAATGTTTTGTTTTGACGGCAGAGCCAGAGTTTATATGTTAAAGATCTAGAGGCCCATGTAATAATGTTTGCTTCAAAGCCCAAAATATCAAATGGGATTTACTTATAGTGGGATATCAACACTGCAATTTTGTTTTTCACTACAATTACGTCCCGAATGTTCGTTAGCCTACTTCTAACTACTTTTCACTACTGCTATAATATTGTATAGCGGCGTGCGACGACTTGCGGGGAAAAAAAAGCAATGATATGCTTTTTCCAAAAGATAAAAGATGAAACTAAGCTTTGTTTGTCAAGTATACTTCGCAAGTACATAAGTCAAAAGATGCAAGACCTCCATTTCAATTGTTTAGTGTTTACTTAAGAAAGAAAAGCAGAGAGAGAGAGCGAGCGAGAGTTGCAAAACCGAAGATCAACCAAAACCGTCAATAGTAGTAATTTAAACAATGCATAAAAAATGAAACAATGAAAAAAAAAATTGTATACCAATAAATGTGAAGAGAAATGGACAGATAAATAAATTATATACAATAAGATGAAAGAAATGCATTTGTCGCCTCATACTTGTCGTCCCAAGTCCGATTATTATGGCTCAAGAAAAGCCAAATAACAAGAGCGCAAATTTATTTTCGAAATCCAAGCAACGTCGTTTGTTCTGTCTTTTGTTTTTAACGTTTGTTCTGAGTTGTACACTTTCTCCTTGAAATATTCGGTGTTGACATCCTACAAAATGCTTAGATTCGAATATGTATTATATATGAAGAAGGAGAATATACAATTATAAAATATATAGATTCAACCGGGCCTTGTGGCCTAGTGGTAAAGGGGTCACAGCTGTGACTTCCGCCACCAGGGTTCGAGGCACGGCCACTGGCAGGTTTACATAGGGGAATTGCCAGCCTCGTGGGATTAGTCCTTGGGCCTAGGAAGCCTTTGGGAGACCCGCGGTTATTCAAAAAAAAAAAAAATATATATATAGATTCATCAATATATAGCTAGTCGAACAAATTGAGAGATAAATCGCGCGCGTGGATCTCACTCGCGGCGATTTTTTTCTCTCCCAATCTTCTTCTTCTTCTGAGCACAAGCTCTTGCGCCGACGGTGGGTTTCTCCGTCGATTCCGGCGACGATGAGAACCCTGACGCTCATGGCTCTTCATCTGTGACCCGGTACAGCTCTCCGGCTAATCCATCTAACCAAAATAATCGGGGGCAGCGGAGGGAAGAAGCTTCTACGAGACACCAACAGTAAGAGCTCTACCGGCGGTGTTGCTCCGTGGAGTGGAAGAGGGAGATTTCCCTGCGAGGACTGGGAGAGGAAGATAGTTAGTTAAGGTGATTGGAGATACTGGAGGTTTCACGGGATAGGGGTTCGATGGGGGAGGTAGGCTCAGATCCGGCGAAGCTAAGCCACCGTCGAAGGTCACTTTAACTACTCCCTACTACCTTTCTCTTTTACGTCTGAGCGAGGAGTCTCTTTCGACATCAGAAAGCTCGGTACTCTTCCTCCTTCTCAAAACGGCTCTTCGGTGGCGAGATGGAAAACGGATCTTGGATCACCATTTCGTTTCGATTCGCGTCGTCCAGGCTCGCCGGAGGTCCTGTTCCGGTGAGCATCTGCAGATCTGTTTGGACGGCGGCTCAAATCGTGTTCTACGGTTGGAGGCTAGGGTTTCTCGCATCCGGTTTGGTCAGATGTGTGAACCGGATCGGTTTTGGTTTTGTTGGTTTTAGTTCGGTTTGTTGTATTAGGGTTGGGCCCAAAGGGATTTTGTATGGGCTAAATCCGGAAATAGCCCATTGGGCATAAGTTTATTTTAATTGAAAGCCTTTTAACAAAAAAAAAAAAAAAATCAATATATAGCTAGTCTCTTGTATGCTAAACACTATCCTAGCAAATGAAGATTTTAGATTGATTACTTATCCCAATTCCCAAACAACAAACATTTGAATTAGTGGGATCACACATTTGCTGATTTTTACATCATATAGGAATAGGATATGTTATCATTAAAACATGTTAACCAAATTCAAAAAAAAAAAGAAAGGCAACAATCATTTAAAGTGCTTGCATAATTTAGTGGGTTTTACCAAATTGATCAAAGTCGTGAATTATTTCTCAATACAAACCAAGGTATAAGCGAGTCTTGATTTTGACATTAAAAGAGCAATCGATTAATAAAAAAAAAAATATTGTGTGGGAATAGATGTGACTGACGGATCCTACATTGGATGATAACTTCTGAAATTTTAAGTTAAATAAAATCTGGATATAAGTGAAATTTATGGACTTCAAAAAAATAAAATGAATTCTATGTATAATGGTTATGGATGACATATAACAAAAAGAAGTTGGATATATATTCTCTAGTACAAACACAAAGGCTAAATGATGACTTTGGTAAGTTGGCTTTTCTTATGGCCATTTGTAGTAAGCAAGAGGATCTTTAATTGAGATCATTAAAAATCTAATAGTTATTTTTCTTAATTACTTTCTGAATATTCCGTTAATAAACAACCTGACATGCACAAACAGTTCATGGAACAGCTTTTGAATATCCCAATCTATTAACACCTGATTTAGTACACTGTGTACTCAAACTCAAAAATATATTTAAAGACTGACCAACAATACATAGTAATCAATCAAAATGTTATGGCCTATTAGCAAAAAAGAACCATGAAAGATGCATAGTTTTATGTTTTTGATGTCACGTGATTTGTCATGTAGCACGTGACAGTGAAGCTGCAGCATGAATGAAGAATGGTCGACATTATGATTATGGCATGGAGCCCCTTTTGCCAGAAGAAGTGCTTTTGGTTCTATCCATTTGAATACTTTGGAGACTTGTATATTATATACTTTAATAAGTTGTTATATGTTATAATCACTCGACTGGTATTTTTAGTTAAGTTCTTTACATCTTTTAAGCTCCAAAAATTTCTTGAAAATATTCGGTAGAAGGAGCATACCGTCGGTTTCTTTAGGCATAACATATTTCGTTTTTCTGTAGCCGAAAATTAACTATAAATTAAAATGTTTAAGTAGGTAAAATATCATTTTTCATCTATGGATCTTAGTATCATGATGATTGAAATTTGTTTTAAGTTAAAAATATTTGACATTTTTCATCATACAAAAGATAATGTGTTCCATATTTCCCTTTCTATATCTCACGTTCACGTACCGATGAAAGGGACCCTTGCTACGAACATTTGGAGCATTCGCTTTATGGCGTCACGGGAAATACATTTTTGGATAGGAGAAATAAATAGCTCAATTTATTTTATCTCAGAAAGTAGCTAATATATGTCACAAATTTTGTTTATGCAAATTTATTCACAGTTCACAATAGGTGCGTAATAACTGTATTCACAATCCATCATGGCATCATGTATAGTTATTTACTTATTTTTGGAGATGACATTAACTTTTCAACAACTCTTTAACAACACGTAGACGTACGTTAAAACAATTTCGTTGCAAGTTGTTTGTTACAATATACTTGGACGTTAGGCCATACACTGTTACTAATATTTCAAATTTCCTCTTTACATGTGAGTGTGTGACATTGAGACCATTCACGGTGACATTGAGACCATTCACGGTGACTATATCTCTTCAAGTTAAATAAAGTTGTGCTTTAGAGTAAAAAAAAAAAAACAATCATTCAAGTCTTTATAAACTTATATAATCCAACTATTTGCAACCAGCATGTACTGTAACATTAATTTGGTAATGTCGATATACATTAATATTAACAATTCTTAATTTCTTATAATTAAGGAAAAAAATCCAATTTTATTCATAAATCATAAACACCCTTCATAATATAAGTTTATTAAAATTAATATATGAAAAGCTATAACTATATCATATTCTTACGACAATGGAATTGTTTGACTAAAATGCATGTTACCAAGTGAAAAATGTATATCTTCTCTTGGAATTTATGGGTTTGGAATTTTGGATGATACTAATTAATCGTCGATTATTAAAACAAAAAAAGGAAGAGAAATTATAGGTTAAATTAAAATATGGGAGATATTTGATGATAATTCCATGCATTTTAAAAGGCTTGAATATCTCCGAACGTTACATTAAAAAAAAATTACTATTGGAATCATGATTATCACTATAACTTCGAATAATTGACCAATTAATTTCAATTTAAGTGTCATGATGATTACTCATAAGTGCTTTCTCGTGATTAGCATATTCAGCGGCAAATATCTTTTATTAACTACAAATCTCCATGTTAATTAAAAAGCCTTGTAAGTTGTAATTTCTTCTCTAACGTGTGTTTCTTTTTCATTCCGTTCTAGAATTCTTGTTTAACCCAATACTTAGTAATAGTATCATTTAATTATCATAATGTATTCTCACGAGATAATTACATTTATCGAGCACAAAATAATTTGTTTTCTCCGTCCCACCAAAAAAAATAATAATTTGTTTTCTCCATACTAAATAATTGTGACACCGTTACTTGACAAAGTCAAATGATAAACCTTATTTTGATGTAATAGATTCGATTAGGTATCTTAACAAATCACTGTTGATACGGTCAAATAAATTATAGGTATATCAACAATGACAAGTAGTCAGCGGAGTCAGTAAAAACCATATAAATAAAGAAAAAAACGAACAAATAAAACAAAAATTAAAGAGAAAAGATAGGAATTTATTTCTTTATTTGTTCATCTTTTATATACAAACAAAACAGAAGCAGCGAAAAGGAACTATAATTATTGCAGTTACACTTATTTTATTTTATCAAAGAAAAAGAAAAGGAGCAAAGATCAAGGTAATGTCCGTTACTTTATTAAAAGCCAAAAAGAAATTTTTTTTACAGAGAGACAAAGTGAGTGAATGAATTCTCGAGGAGACGTGTACGTAGAGGTGTATATATAGAAAAGATAAAGAAAGAGAAAGACAGAGACAAGTGTTGGGGTCATCTAAGTAGTGACCTTTTGTGGTTGGATTTGGTTTGGACTATCTAATCTTTATCTTCCCGCTTCTTCTCTTCTTTGAATCTCTCTTCCTTCTTCTTCGACCTTAGAGGTGAGAGAGATGTGAGTGGTTGTTTTTGGTGTTAGAAAATGGATACACCGGAAAAGAGTGTAACCCAGATCGGGACTCCAGTTTCTAAACTCAAAGTCGAGGTTTTTGTTCAATACCCATCTCTTGTTTTGGTTAAAGTTTCATGCTTTATTGTGTTTTTCTCGGTGTTCCTCTGTTTCTGTGATGGTTTTTGGTGTCTGTTCGACTTTTCTTCATTGAATCGTATGGTTTTGTGTAAAACCCTTCTCTCAATTTGTTGCATTTTAGTCAAAGATTGAGTTTTTGATTCTGTTTCTCGAGTGATGATGGATTGTGTGGAATGTTTTGGTTTTGATGGTTGGAGATAAATTGAGATCAAAGTGTTTTGTGTAATGCAGGATTCACCAGTGTTTAATTATATATGCAGTCTCTCACCAATCAAGACTCTCAAATCAATTCCAATCACTCAAACGTTAAGCTCTCTCAATTTCACATCTCCACCTTCTGTTTTCACTTCTCCTCACGCGGTTTCTCATAAAGAATCTCGTTTCAGAAGGTAAAGCCTCTCTCCTCTGAGTCCTTCTTAGTTTTACTTTTCGAAGTTGTTAAGTGGAATGTGTTTGGTTGCAGTCAAAAAGATGGGTCTGCTTCTAAAGAAGTTGCTTCCATTGGAGAAGAAGGAAATGAAGAAGCTTTAGTTGAAAATAGCGAACCGGCGCAAAGTCTCAAGAATGACTGCAATACTCCTAGAGTTACCAATGATGTGAGAGACAATGGTTGTTGTGAAGATAGTGGGAAGGATTTGCAGAAGATGTTGGACAATGTCAAGAAGAAAAGTGAAACTCCAGATTGGGAAACTTTGATTGCTGCTACAACGGAACTGATTTATGGCTCACCGAGGGAGTCAGAGGCTTTTAGTTGCTTGTTGAAGAGAACTTCAAACTCTGAAGCACGTATACGCGGTGGTACAATGCCAACATCAAAGCCTGTTTCGAATACCGATGTAGGCAATAATGAATCTGAGTCTCTTGATGTGAGTAAAAGGCTTTGTTGATAGTGCTTTTAGCTTTTGGTTCTTGATTTATCATTTTCTCTGAAATGTTTCTCTTTTTTTGTGTGTGTGTGTGTGTGTGCAGGCTCTTTCGATCTTGCACCGTGGTGTGAGAAGACGGTGTTTAGACTTTGAGATTCCCGGGAATAATCAGCAAACATTGGGTGAATCTTCATCGAGTTGTGTAGTACCTAGCATTGGTCTGCATCTTAACACCATTGCAATGTCCTCTAAGGATAACAATGTTGCTAATGAGTACTCATTTTCCGGTGACATTAAAGTCGGTTTGCAAAGTTCTGCCACTCCGCTTCTTCAATCGCCGCACGACATTGTGAGAGAAAATGAAACCGGGAAAGATGCAGGTCAAATTATAGAAGAGGTTCCAAAGTCTTCAGCTTTAGTAGAATTGACTCCAATAAGCCCCAAGAAGAAAAGGCAAGTTTGTCCTGAAACTTGTACAAACAGATTCATGGTAAAACTTTTTCCTTTTTCTTAACAATCTGTTGGCATTAAAACGTGCAGGCGTAAGTCCGAACAATCAGGAGAAGGCGGGTCGTCATGTAAACGGTGTAACTGCAAAAAATCCAAGTGTTTGAAGCTGTAAGTTAAATACCCCAATCTTTGTCTTTGCTTTAAAGTAGTTTTTTGGTGAGTCTCTTTTAATGTGTTTCTCTTTGCAGTTACTGTGAATGCTTTGCTGCTGGAGTTTATTGCATAGAGCCATGTTCATGTATAGATTGCTTTAATAAACCTATCCATGAAGATGTTGTCCTGGCTACTCGCAAACAGATTGAATCCCGCAATCCGCTTGCATTTGCTCCTAAAGTCATCAGAAACTCAGATTCCATCATTGAAGTTGGTGTAAGTGTTCTCATTTCCATTTTACTTATCAGCCTCAATCCATTTTTATCTCATTGAAAAGGCTATAAAAAATTGTATTGATTCACAGGAGGATGCAAGTAAAACTCCAGCTTCAGCGCGACACAAACGAGGCTGTAACTGCAAGAAATCAAACTGTCTGAAGAAATATTGTGAATGCTATCAGGTATTTTCATTAAACTCCATACACATCTATGTAAGATTCTCTTCCGTGGATCGATTCTGATACATTGATCGTATAGGGCGGAGTCGGCTGTTCTATAAACTGTAGATGTGAAGGATGTAAAAATGCATTTGGCAGAAAAGATGGTTAGTCTTTTATTTCCACATCTTCCATAAATTCTACACTTCAAGTCTCTTGATCTTTTATTTGACAAGATTACACAATCTCCGCAGGGTCTTTGTTCGAACAAGATGAGGAAAACGAAACATCTGGCAAAAGCGGAACAACGAAAACACAACAGAATGCCGAGTTGTTCAATCCTGCTGCTCCACCTTCAACACCATTACCAATAAGGTAAAGAAACAATCTCAAAAACAGTCAAATATTTGTCCATTTAGACAACTCCTGATTAAATTTATTAACCTTTGTTTTCAGACAACCACTGGCTCAACTTCCAATCTCATCCAACAACAGACTACTTCCTCCACAGTCTCATTTTCATCATGGAGCTATTGGATCATCTTCCTCAGGGATATACAACATCAGAAAACCAGACATGAGTTTGTTATCTCATTCAAGAATTGAGACAATTACAGAAGATATTGATGATGATATGACCGAGAATCTAATCCATTCTCCAATAGCTAACATCAATAGTCTATCTCCCAACAGCAAAAGGGTTTCTTTGCCTCATCTTGATTCATCAGAGTCGTCTCCATGGAGAAGAAATGGTGGCAGGAATCTGATACGTTCGTTCCCAACGTTTCCTTCTCTCACTCCACACCATTAAAATTCTTTGAATCTTTGTGATGAATGTCAACTTCTAGTTGGTAGTTTAACTTACACAAACAACATACGCAAACATTTTTACTAGTTTAGTAGTAGCACATTTGCGTTTGTCTTTTATAATGGTTGTGTAATAAAAATGTTAAGTCATTTATCAATTCAGAACATTCGTTGATAATATCACAAATGTAAAAACAATTTGTGAACTAATTTTTTTTTTTTTGAATTTATACATGAATTCTAAATCAATTCCCAGAGTAGAACCATTTCCAACCTCTTTCTTACAGACGCAATCAACTAGCCCTGGGCGTTCGGTTGTTCGGTTCGGTTCGGTTCGGTTATTCGGTTGTTCGGTTCGGTTCGGTTCGGTTATTCGGTTCTAGGCATTTGGGATCCATAAGAGAACCGAACTGTTTTCGGTTCGGTTAGCTTTCGGTTCGGTTCGGTTTGGATACTTGAGAAGAGAACCATAAGATAACCGAAATACCTTCGGGTATGGTTCGGTTCGGTTCGGATATTTACCCACCAAATAACCGAACTATCCAAAGAACCGAACCATTACCCGAATAAAAACAGATTGTCGTACTAATAATGTATGCAAATATGAACCAAAAACTTCAAAATGCAATAATTCAAGTTGCAAATCTAAAAAAGGAGTCTACAAAGTTCAGTCCAGAGAGATTCATAACAAACTAACAATATTCTAGAGTTCCAAAATCCAAATCCGCAACAAAATAACAAAGTTCAAACTTCAAAAAGGGTATAATGCAAAAAGGATTTGGGCTTAATGGGTTTAGGGGATAAGGGAAATGGGTTTGGGTTTAATGGGTTTAGGTGTAGGCCTCTTTAGTCAAATGTGTTTGGTTTAAAATGGATATCCATAGATATCGGTTCGGTTCGGTTAATAACCGATAATCCATGGATAGTTGAGATGAGAACCATTCGGTTATTTAGCAATATCCGAAACCGAAAATTTCGGATACTTTCGGTTCGGTTCGGTTTTTCGGGTTCGGTTTTTATGCCCAGGGCTACAATCAACTATTCGATACGATTTGTGAAGCTTATTACACTTTTTCTGCAAATTGTTATGTTCATTGGTAAAAAGAGTAAACTGGGCCACAAAAGTAAGGACTGGGCCTGAGTGTTATAGGTCCAGTTAAGGTAAAGATGACGTCACTTAGTGGAAGGACTAAAGAGTGATAATGAATTTGGACTTTTTAACATTTTTCCCACTTGTGTTAACGCTCTCTTCGCCACTGTTTCGCACCGGCGCGGACAAAGCTTTTTTTTTTTTTTTCGAAATTCAACAACAACCCTAGATTAAAAAAAAAAAAAACCAGTGTCTGCATAGAGGCAATGTAGATTTGATTCTTGCTGAAAAATGGACAAACCTCAGAAGAATCCTACTTCCCAGATCGGAACTTCAACTCCCAAATCCAAATTCGAGGTTTTTTTCCTATACCCATCTCTTATTTTCCTCAAAGTTCACTCCTTTCGTCGTCTCTCTACGCTTTGAAGAAGAAAGTGTTGTGTTTTGGGTTTTGTTCATGTTTCTCGCTTCAGGGTTTTGCAAATTTTTTGTTGGGTTTTTTGTAGACGAGGTCAATTTCTTGAATTGACCAAACATTTCTCATTTTGTTTCGAAATATCAGGGATTTTTGTCTTTTTGGCAAATATTTTTGTTGTTGTGGTCTGCAAATTTGGCTCCTTTTTAACTTTATTTGGCTTCCAATGTAGGATTCTCCAGTGTTCAACTACATAAGCAATCTCTCTCCAATTGAGTCGGTCAAATCTATCTCCACTGCTCAAACGTTTAGCTCTCTGAGTTTCACATCTCCTCCTCCTGTTTTTACCTCTCCTCACGTCAATTCTCACAGAGAATCTAGATTCTTCAGATGGTAAACAATAGTTCTTGAATTAGCAAATTCTCTTCTTGTTGTTTTAGTAGAGGATGATGTTTAATGTTGTAATTGGTGTTTTTGTTGTTGTAGTCATAACTCTGTTGATCGTGCAAAGCACTTAGAGTCTTTAGATGGATCTGCTATTAAAGAAGAAGGTGTAGTACCATTAGTTGAAGATCTAAATAAAGAAGCTTCTTTGGAAGATGAAGAAGAAACTTCCGTTGAAACGTCTTATGAGCTGCCACAGATCTTGAAGTTTGGCAGCCAAACTCCTGAGGATAGTGATTCTCCTTGCAGTGAAGATGTTGTTATTGAAGCTTCATCTGATCCTCCTCGAGGAGACGGTGGTTCGTCTTCCGAGGATGTTAAGATGGGGCTTCAGAATATGCTTGTTGTTCGGGAAGAGAAGGACACTCCTGATTGTGGACGTTTGATCTCAGATGCTACTGAGCTGTTAGTATTTCGGTCTCCGAATGATTCAGAGGCTTTTAGATGTTTGGTGGATAAAATATCGAGCTCAGAAAGACGGTTCTGCGCTGGTGTCAAGTCAACAAAGCGGCCTAAAATCACTGAAGATATTCCAGCCAATGGATCCAGTAATGAAAATGAGCCTTTAGCTGTGCTTCCCAACGAGGTAGATTCAGGAATACATTTCGAAATGACTTTTTTTTTTCCCTCAAATGTGATTAGTAACTATATTTGGGCTTTTGATTGAGTTGAAAGGTTTATTTTGCGTTGTGTTTGTTTGTTGTAGTCTGTCTTTAACTTGCATCGTGGTGGCATGCGAAGACGCTGCCTTGACTTTGAGATGCCAGGGAAGCGGAAGAAAGATATAGCTGATGATCAGCAATCTGTGTGTGACAATAATGTGGCTGGTGAATCTTCCTCGAGATGTGTTGTACCTGGTATTGGTCTTCATCTTAACGCCGTTGCAATGTCTGCAAAGGACAGTAACATTAATCTCATACATGACTATTCCATATCTGGGGAGATTCAAAAGAGTTTCTCAGGCTCTATTACTCCAATTCACTCCCAAGACACTGTGCAAGAAACTTCGGACCAGGCAGAAAATGAACCTGTAGAAGAAATTCCCAAAGCATTGGCATTCCCAGAGTTGAATCTGGGCAGTCTTAAGAAAAAGATGCAAGTTATTTCTTGAGAAAAGTTACATAACAGATTTGGATATCTACATTTTTGTTTTTCTTATCTGTTGGCGTAAATGTGCAGGCGTAAATCTGAACAAGCTGGAGAGGGGGAGTCATGTAAGCGATGCAACTGCAAAAAGTCAAAGTGTTTGAAGCTGTAAGCCTATACACCTAGCTTCTCTTTAATTCTTGCCTGTTCAAAAAGTTAACTGAATTGCCTTGAATTGGTTAACCATTGTTTGAGTCTCTTTTATCTCTGCAGTTACTGTGAATGCTTTGCTGCTGGGGTTTATTGCATAGAGCCATGTTCATGTATAGATTGCTTCAACAAACCTATCCATGAAGAAACTGTTTTGGCCACCCGCAAACAGATTGAATCCCGAAATCCACTTGCATTTGCTCCTAAAGTCATCAGAAGCGCAGATTCCATCATGGAAGCTGGTGTAAGAGCTCTCTATTCCATCTTCTTATTCCCTTCGCGCTCTCACTCTCTCTGTCCTCCATTAATCTGAGGAATGACACTGTTATCTTGCACAGGATGATGCAAGTAAAACCCCAGCTTCTGCACGACACAAACGCGGCTGCAACTGCAAGAAATCAAACTGTCTGAAGAAATACTGTGAATGCTATCAGGTTTTTCTTTCATCATTGTATTCAATATTTTGTCGGTGTAAGTTATATTCCATGGTCTGATTGAGATACTTTGTTTCTAATGATCTTATAGGGTGGAGTCGGCTGTTCCATGAACTGTAGATGCGAAGGATGCAAAAATGTATTCGGCAGAAAAGAAGGTTAGTATCCGCAGCTCCATTTTCCATTACTGTTTATAATCCCAGACCCAAAGTCTTTTGATTTGACATTATTTTAATCTCAGGGTCTTTACTTGTTATCATGGAGAGCAAACTAGAGGAGGATCAGGAGACATATGAGAAAAGAATAGCAAAAATTCAACACAACATCGAAGTGTCGAAAGAAGTGGAGCAGAACCCAAGTTCTGATCAACCTTCGACACCACTGCCACCGTACAGGTAATTGTATCGATGTTTCAAACAATATACAAACAAGGCAGCTACTGATTTGCTGTTACCTTTGTTTTGCAGACATTTGGTGGTTCATCAGCCATTCTTGTCTAAGAACAGACTGCCTCCGACACAGTTTTTTCTTGGCACGGGTTCTTCCTCTTTCAGAAAACCAGATAGTGGTTTGACGCAATCACAGAATGAGAAGAAGCCTCTTGAAACTGTGGCTGAAGACAAAACAGAGATTATGCCTGAGATTCTCCTCAATTCCCCTATAGCTAACATCAAGGCTATCTCTCCCAACAGCAAGAGAGTCTCTCCCCCTCAACCCGGCTCCTCGGAATCGGGCTCAATCCTAAGGAGGAGAGGTAATGGCCGGAAGCTGATACTACGGTCTATTCCAGCATTTCCTTCTCTCAACCCAAATCAGTGAATCAAAAACAATATGGTTAAGCTATGGAAAAATTCTTGTATCTTTGTAATGTTCCAGATCCTGTTAGCCTATCACTGTTTCCATAACATAAGACATTAGCAACGTTCTTGTAAGATACTTTCATTCTAGTAGGTAATATAATATCACATTCTAGTTCATAATCTTCCAGAAAGAACATCCAAAATTGGACTATTAGAAAAGCTAAGTTCGAAACATAGAGTCAAACCAGATACATACAGAGTTTAGCAGAAACTACAAAGATTACTAATTTGCTCTAATATTTCAGAAACAATGCCACAAAATACTTCTAGAGTCAGTTCCATGATTATAGTGAAAAATAAATAGTAAACTAGATGCTGTTACGTTAATATCCACCCTACTCTTCATTACCGGAAGATCTCATACAGCCGCAGAAACGATTTTTCTTCTTTCTCGCTGTCCTTTTGCCACCTTTATGGATAATGTCTCTCAAGAGTATCACTGTCCTACTCTCAGAGAACTTTTTCCTTCCTTTACTCTTGGCTGCTCCCTCTTCAAGCTTTAGCACTGTTCGCTCAATGTTCTGCATTTCTTGCTGCATCTGCTCTATCTTCTCAGACCCATTCCTCGACTTCTCCATAACCACTTTTCTATAGATATCTCTGGCATCTCCGGTCTCCTCAATTTCGTTCGAAAGAATCTCATTTGTGTTTGTAAGCTGAAAGATGGCTTCTTCCATTTCTTTCAGCTGTTTCCTCACTCTAGCAAAATCAGGGTTAGTGAACTTGCCTGGCTTCTCGTTTATCTCCAGCTTGCTTTTCAGGTCTCTTAGGCTGATTCTAAGGCTTGCCAATCTTCTAGAATCCGACAAAAGTCTCTCCAGAATTTTTGCATTGTCCTCAGTGCTTCTAGATAACTCTAGTTTGTCAACAACTCCAACCACTTTCTCAGAATGTGATTCAACAGAGGGATTCCTGCTTCTGCGATGAAGACGGGGGATCAAAGGCTTCTTTGAGTTTTTATTGTTGATCAGAGACTTTATGCTGGATTCTGGTTCAGCAGACTCTTCCCATAATTCAAGCATTTGGTCACTGGAACCACGACTAGTTCTCCGGCTTCTTCCATAGAACGTTGAGTCTGCAACTTGATCAAGGGGAATGTCTTTCATCAATGAACCATTTTTCAACTCAGTCATCACAGGTGATCTAGGCTGTCTGATTTCACCCGAGAATTGGTCTTCAAGTTCAATTTCTTCAAACAGCTTGCGGTCCCTGCTTCTGTGTGAAGAGTTTCGTCTTCTCAGCTTCCCGCGCCTCTTTTTTTCCTCAACAACTGCTTGCTTAATGGTTTTGATTCTTGTTTTCATGTCCTGCAAAAGCACAATTCCATTGACTAGGTTGGTACTGCAATGTCCTACAGGTTCTTGAGAGACTGCTGCTTCTGGATGTTCATCATTCTGGACGCCCTGAGGAAATTGGAAGATATTAGTTCATGAGGCATATATGCAAAAGGCACAGGTTTCACCAAATGGAAGCCACTAACGAGATTAGTAAAACCGGTCAATTAGCAAAGGTAGACTGAGAAAGATGAGGTAAGATGTCAAATAGAGAAACGGGAAGAAGTTTACCTCTCTGTGACAACCAGCTGGCGCAGGGAGTTTCATCAACGAGATGGCATTTTGCTCAAGGGACCTGACATCTTCTGCTAGAGATGCTACCACAGGATCATAGGCAGACAATTGAGTCTTCAGCTCAGTCACTTCATATTCCAAGAATCCAACTGTTTCTTTTATTTGTTTTATCTCTGTGGTCTTTGTAACAGCTTCATCTTTGAGATTTTCACAAACTCCAGTGAGTTCTTTAACTTTGTTCTCAAGTAAGACTTCACGGACAGCTGAGATCTGTAGATCAAAGTAGAAAGATGTTGCTTCAGCATCCCAAAGTCCAAACTCATTGCTTTTCTCTTGCAGCTCTGAACTCAAGAACTCCTCTCGAACTCGGTGTTCTTGGATTTCCTTGTGTAACAACTCTACCTCCGACTCCAAATTCTCCTTCAAATTGCTAAGCTTTTTAATCTCCTCATCCTGTCTCCCAGTAAGGTCACACAGTTCAGAAATCCGCCTCTCTAAATTTCCTTTCAGTTTCCTAGATTCTATACAGTCTTTCCTCAGCTCTTCAACTGCTTCACACAGTTCAGCATTTGCATTGTGTGTAGCCTTGAGCATCTCTTCAGCTTCTAGGAGCTCCATCGCCTTCTGTCTCATGATTTCCTCCTTATCTAAAATTTGATGTTCTAAGAGATCATTTAGCTCATTGGCTTCTTCGAGGCTTTCCTGTAACTTTTCCAGCTTGCTGTTAAGCTCCTGACTGTCCACCTCTTTCCCTTTTAACTTCTCCTCCAGTGTCTCAACCTTCTGCTTCAGACCACTATTAATGTCTTCTAAACTAGTCAGGTTTTCAGCAAAAGCTTCAACTTGCTCGGCCTTTTCCGACCCAAGGGACTGGTAAACCACAGACATGTTGTTCAAGGCAATAGCTTCCTGAAGAAATGCACCGTTTTCTTCCTCTAGTATACAAATTTCACCTTTAAGTTCTGAGAACTTCAGATGCAAAGTTTTGTTTTTGTCGAGAGCATTTGAGTAATCTTGATGTAAAGCCATGTATGACTCATGCAAACCCTCAAACTTTAAATGCTCAGTTTGTAGTTCAGCTCTTAGCTTTAGCTCCCGCTGCTCTCTGTCAATCAGTTCTGATTTCAACTGTTGGTTCATTTCCAATAGCTCGAGCTTGTCCTTTTTCAGCATTCCGTAGCGATGTACTATCGTCTCCAGATCTTTCTCTACATTACGTTTCTCTGATTCCACCTTCATGCCATCTGATTGGAATTGTCCAAGTAGAGATAAGAGCACAGAGTTCTCAATTACAAGTCGCTGTGTCTCGTATTCAGCGCTAGAGAGTGAACCTTTAAGCTCATTAATCTCACCCAAGACACGTGAAACAGGAATTCTCTCTTTTGCAATCTTCTGGTCAGCTGTCTTACAATCTGCTTCAAGTTGAAGTGCCTTAAACACTTGATAGATTGCACCCCTGAAGTTATCAATCTCATGCACCAAGAATTCTGCTTCCATCTGTTGCTCAAGATTCTCGCTTTCCAGCTCAGCAATGAGTTTCTCTGAAAATGTTGATGCCTCCGCATATTTCTGGCACTCAATCAGGAGTGAAAAGTTCTTCTGCTCCAAGTCTTCTATAAACTTCTGCAAGATGAAGATCTCAACTTGAGCATTTACAGCTCTGTCAAGCTCTTCCTCAAACTCCTTTTTCCTGGAGCGACACTCTTCTCGAAGAAAGCTCACGTTATTCTGAAGATCAGCCAATCTGGTGTCAGTCGATCTTTCGTAACTAGCACGCTCTTGCTTCTCAGTGGCAAGTGAGACTCTTAACTCTTCCACTTGAATATTTTTGAACTGTTTTTCTCTCTGTAGGTCAGCATATTTTCCTTCCAACTCAGTGAACTTCTTCTCCAAAACTCCTAGCTTCTCCTTAACTGCATTTAATTGAGAGATAAGAGATTCTCTTTCCTTTATAAGCTCGGCCTTATCGTTTTTGAGCAACTGGAAGAATTCTTCAAAGCATTTTGATTTCTCCCTTACACCTTGAAGCTCAATGTTTGCACCAGAAAGGGATGTCTCCAATAACGAGTTCTTTTCCAAGAGCTTCTGCATATTCTCAGTCATGATTTGCAATTGAGAAAGTAGGTTAGCTCTCTCAGCAATAAACTCAGATTTCTCTCCTCGTAATGACTCACATCTTTCTTGTAGATCCTTCGTCTTCTCCCTAGAGCCCTCTAGTTTAGTGTTTGATTCCAGAAGCAATTTCTCTAGAGCAACATTCTTCCTTAGAATGTTATCCATTTCACGCAGCTTTTCAGTAAGAGCATCTTTATCACCACTCTGGTGGTTGCACAACTCTGTCAGCTTTGAGTTCTCGTCCTGTAGTTTCCTCACAGAGTAGGCAAGGGACTCGGGATCCAATCCTGCGAGTTTCACTTGCTCCATTATTGCTTGATACCTCCTATTCAAGCTGTCAATTTCATCCTTCAGACGACGGATCTCTTCTTGAAAGGCACTGCTTTGGTTAATTTGTCTTGCAACTTCTTCTTCGAGTTTCTCTTTTATCTCCTTCAAGCTAGAAATCTCGCATTTCTGAGTCTCCAGGGAGATCATAGAAGAATCATTTAGTTTGCTCAAGTTTTGGTTTTCTTCTCTAACTGAGCTGATGTCGCCTTCCAACTGATGATTACGAGTCTCTAAGTCCCTCAACATGACAATCCTGCTTTGAAGTTCTGAAGTGAGAACCTTTTGTTCCTCTTGGGACTGAGAATACAAACTTTGCAAACTTGTAAGGCTGACTTCGATTTCTAAAAATCGAGAGTGCTCATCTTGAATTAAAGATTGAAACTTTTCAAGCTCGTTTTGCTTCTGGAAAATTTCTTGATCCTTAGCTGCTAATTTATACGTTAGACCATCTGCTTCTAGCTTTAAAGTTTCATTTGAGCTCTCCAAAAGAGTACACTGGTCCTCTACAGTCTTCAATTTTGCAGCTCCAGCCAAAACTTCACTACTCAGTCTTTTGGCATTTTCTTGAGCATGAGAAACTTCTCTCTCTAGCTTAGATATTATTTCCAAACACTGCTGGTACCGAAGACTCAAACCTTCCTTCACTTCTTTTACCTTCACAAGTTCATGTCTCAATGCTTTAATTTCATCTTCTGCTTTTGCAGACTGACTACTAAACATTTGAGCATTCTCCTCGGCCTCTCTAACCTTCTTCTCTAGATTAGATATCATCTCAAGGCATCGATTGTATTCAGCTAAGCCGGCTTCCTTCTCAGAATGCAATCTACTATGCTCTTGCTTGAGACTCTGTACTTCTGTTTCTGCTTTAGTTGCTCGGTTGGTGAGCCCCCTCACATCTTCCTGTGCATGAGAAAATGATTCCTCCAGCTCCGCTATTTTCTGCATGGATTCATTATACCGAAGAAGCGCTGCATCCCTCTCAGCTTCAAGCTTTGCAAGGGATTCTGCAAGTATCTTAGTCTCAATCTCAGCTTTGCTAGCACGTTCATCAAGCCCATTAACATCCTTTTGAGCAACCACAAGGTCTTTTTCCAGTCTGGAAAATTTGTTCAAGCTTAGCTGATACTGAAGATTCAAGGCCTCCTTCTCAGCCCCAAGCTCAACCAATGCTCTCTTCAAGCTTTCAACTTCTGTTTCAGAATTTCCTAAGAACTCAGTCAGCTGACTTAAACCCCTTTTACTCGTGGCACTGTCCTTTTGCAGGTCTTCAGAGTCATAAAATGGCTGGATTCCAGGTGGCATTTTCTCGGGCGTGCGTGGCTCGGAACAAGAAGATGAAGCAGAATCCTCAATCATGTCGAAAGGCACTTGGTTAGGAAATGCCTCAGCCATGGTTTTATGCGCGTGACGAAGCTCCACAGTCGCATGATCGTACCTCTCTGCTAATGCACGATAAGCTCTATAGAATTCTTCAACCAGTTTCATCAGCTCTGGACGTTTCTTGTAATACATCTCTGCCCTTCTTGCAAAAGAATCTGCATCTTCTTCGATGAGTTTAATCATCGCCTTCACTTTGGAATCCATATCTACATCAAGAAAATTCAATTCTTTCTTCCGTTAAATAGCCGTAAACAATACAAAGAAACAAATCATTAGCACGTCAAGAGAGAGATAGAGGCACCTGCAAGATTCTGCTGAATCCATTTAGAGTTTTTGGGAATGTGACTATCCCACCACCAGGAGTATAACCGCCTGGACTCTGAGTGCAAGACAGTAGCCATCACACCGGCTGCTAGAAGCACAAAGAGTGGTCTAGACTTCACCCAAGGGTGGTCAAGTCCGAGGTAAGGATTCCAGGCCAGAATCAATCTCTACTAATTATATTTCAAACTAAAGAGCTCTTTGATCTCTCAGTCTCAGATTTTTTCACCTACAAAACTGAGACAATGCCACACAATATAATCAAATTCTATAATAGAAAATGTTTAGACTTTAAGCAATATACTCTATAATCTCTCTACAGAGAGTAATTTGGTCCTATACTAAATCAAGATATCACTTAACAACAATGTAGTTTATACACAAAGCATCCAAATTCAATCAAGGTAAACCCTGAGAAATCAATAAATCAAACAAAAGGGCAAATAAAAAAACAAGATTTTTTTGGTTTAGTACAAGGAAAATGTTTGTTAGAGGCTAAAAACTGCAGATGTAACAAAAATGTATCACTAAAGGACCTTAAAAATCACAACTTGTTGAGTTTTGCAGATCAAATTTACCAGAAAGAGCAAATGGGTAGCTACAGAAACTAAAAAGATTGAGTCTTTCTTCAAGCAAAACTAGAGACAGATACAAAACGACTCGTCGAATAGATTAGATCCAAATGTACAAACAACAACGAAAACTCTCACAAGTGAAGTGTCAGAACAAAAGAGAAAAATGTGAGACCAGAGAGAGAGAGATCATTAGAGAAGAAAACATACCGAAGAAACTGAGAAATGGCTGCAAAATGATAATGAAAGTCATCTCATTGTCTTCTCTAGTTCACACTCCAACAGCTCTTTCTCTCTCTGTGCCTGCAATTATATTCTTTTAGATTTGGAACTCTTTGTGCGACAAAATTAAAAGATGAGAATGATTTGACGCACAACAGTAAAATAAAACTTTTTTTTTTGTTTTTTGCTTTTTTTTTAATAGTATAAAAATTGTTATTTAGTCCTTTTTTTGGGTTCTTTTCTATCTTAATAATGAGATTTGTTTTGGAAATTGAAACGTTGAACAGAGTACTAAATTAACGAAAATTAAATTAGGGGTAGAAACTAATTTCAACGGGTAATTTTTTTATAAATTGGTGTAATCAATGCAATTAAGGGAAAATGATACGGTCGTTGTGTGTAAATCCTCTCGTAAAACTCGATTATTTTTGATTTTTTTTCTTAAATCTTACTTAATCGTAATCCGAGATTTGGGGATTGTGTTGAAGGTTGTTGTTAACTTGTAAGTATCATTATTCAAATATCAAAGATTTTAGAAATAATAATCTACATTAGATATCATAAAATTATTTAAAGAATTGGTTTTTTATTTTCTTTTGTAATAGCGGATTAGTTTATGTGTGTCTAGTGATTTGTGCAAAGATTAGGTGACATTAATGTAGGTTGAAAAATTAGATCTGAATCATCAACGGAAAATGACAAATCTGTCCTTTGCTCAAAATGTGTTTTTTTTTCTTGGTTTTTACAAAAGGTAGGTCCTTTAACCTGTCTACTTCTGCTGAATTTGACCGTATGACAGAAAAATAAAAATATCTTCATAAATTTAAGAAAAATACTACTATAGTTTAGGAAGGTAAATTCTTTACTGTCGTGTAAACTTTTAGTAATTAGATAGATGTTACTTTAATTGGTCGTACTTAAGTAAAATAGAACACATTAATGTTTGTAAAAGATAATGATCGGTTAGTGAATTTTATTTGATATAAAAATAAAGTCTTCTATAACGTTAACTAACATGTCTTGATTGGATCCATGAAAAGATTTATACTAAAAATATTGTTTGTTATTTATAAATTTAGAAAGAGTACAATCATTCCAAAGCTTGTGACCCCATGTCATATGTTCTGAAATAGCATAATTAGAATTTATGCATACAATAAATAATTATTTTCTTAAAAAGAAAATTTTGAGCTATATTTCTTTATAATGTCCACATGTCTCATAATAATTATGGAAAGCAACCCTTTATAAAATATTAATTACCTTTCTTATTTATTGAACTACATCTTTGTTAAGTTTAAGTATGACGTGCTATTTTAATTAAATATTAGTGCATGTAAAAAAAAGATAAATTAAAAAAAAGATAAATTCATCAAAAATATGTGACCGACATCTCTTTAAAAACTAAAATGCCGACGATAAATTTAGAATGCATTTTCCATATGTCATATAATTAGTTTTCTTTTCTATCGAAACTTCTTCAGTTCATTAATTATTACGTAAATATTTTAATAAATAGTGAACATCACGCCACTTTATAAAAAGATTCACGTTGAAGAACTCTATAGTTAGTGTTGTTCACGTGTATTAGCTTTTGATCTAATTCTTAATAATTCCATTAGCGAAGGAGTAAACGATCAACACAAGCAAATGGGTATAACTTTCCCAATTACTGCAAAGAAGTGAACTTTCATCGCATAATGATAACTGGTGCATCATGTTTTGCTGCTTGTGTTTGCCTTCATGCAATGGTACATTGGTACTGCAAGTTAAACCGGTTTCTTAAGCAGAAAATTTCTTATATTACACATATCGTGACCTTATTAGAAAAGAAAATAAATTATTTGTCAAATCGAAAATAGATAAAAGAATTCACACCTAGAAAATAACAATGAAAAGTCCACAATAGGTATATAATTAGATGAAAGGAGGGATTATTAGGAGTGTTATGGTTCGTTTTCTGCTTTTTCAGTTCTTTTGCATGATAGTGTTTTATCTTCTTTTTTTTGGTAGGATGATAGTGTTTTTCTTAGTTATTAATCTTCTTATTGAAAAACTCGGAATTTTCTTTTTTATGACATAGCTGAACATTAATATCTAAATATAATAATTTGTCATATATATGCTTAAAACAATGATAGCTCACTGTTTGATTGCCACAAAATGTTAAACATGCCATGTTAGTAAAATCAATGCCATGTCATTTCATTCTTAGACTCCAATCCAATCCACAAACTTGATGTTGATATATAATATGACAAAAAAAAAGATGTTGATGATATATATTGTGTTCTAAATACGTGGGAATGCAAGGAATTAAATCCCTTATTAGATACATGGTTGAATTTTTTGAAAATTATACATCTATCAACAGTGAAACAAATAGAATCTGTAACTCTATGTGACTATGTGTTGGTAAGATGGTATTGGTTCTAGGGTTAAGAGCGCTACATCTTCCACTGTGCGTGTACTTTGTGTATAAACCACTTGGTCGCTTAGGTGCTGGCTTGAGTGTTTTATATATGGTGAGCTTGCGAGAAACTCGTTACAAAGAAATCTTCTCACTTGTAGGATTAATCGGATGCTTTGATGAAACCCGAAGGCCAAAGCTATTCCTTAAAAACTAGATTTTATATAAAGATAGTCGCAAGATAAGAACACTAAATTGTAGATTGATTGATTAAATCCCTATATATACGATAATATGATCATAAGATGGATAGATTTTTTTCGTTAATAAAAGATGTTCTAAACTACATTGTAGTTTCTATTTTCTATCTTCACTTGTGGTCCAACCTACCCCATATCTAAAGATGTATCCCAACTCTCAAAACTAGGATTTTCTTTTGCACGCACACTACAAGCCCACCAACAAACATCAATAGCAATATCTTCAAAATCACAAAAGAGATAACGAAGGGGTCATCAAGATCTCCTAAAACAAAAGGAAAAAGAAAAAGAGTCACCTGAAAGTATAAAAAGGTGAGATGTCTTTAAAGTGTCATATGTTAGAAGCAAATATATTGATTTTTCTCTTTTTGTTGGTAAAAGAATGCCCCCAACATTTGCAACTCTATTATTCTGTAAAGTCCTCTTATTACAAAGGAAAAGAAAAAAAAAAGAAGGCAGAAAGATTATGGGGCCAATGCATGATATATTAACATCCTATAATGATTAATTGATTATAAACATCCATATATGATATATAAAAACATTTGTGCATATCATAATATATATATATTTATTGATTATTGATATGGTCAAGCCACAAAGGAAGTATGTGAATGTCAAAGAGTATATATAAGCGGTGGTTGAATGGTCAATGTTTTTAACGATCGATGGTGAAGTGTCATGGTTTAAAGGTCGCATTGTCGGTTTGGTAACGACACATCAACTTTGCAGTTTGCACCAGTTTTGTCTCCTTGAAGCCCCATTCTTCCATCTCCGGTTTAATCTTAACCGGCCCGGTTTTGGGTTCAGAACCAATACCAAATTGCCTAGATGGTTTATTGGGCTTCCGTTGCTAAGGTGAAACTATAACAAATTGCTTAACCTAAGGCCCAATAAAAAGGTTTCGTTTGTTTATTGGGTCTCGAGTTAGAGCAATTAATTTTCTTTAAGTATCTCAAATGGTTGTTAGTTACTGATTCCACCAGAAACACGGTTTATAATATTTTGTCAACCATTGACACAGTTCCCAAAAGTGATTTCATTTGTCTGTGATAAGTTGAAAATGAAAGCACATGGTTAATTAATGCCATCTAATTTAAGTAATACTAATGTTTTGTAAACTTTGTCAACCATTGGCACATCGCCCAAATGTGATTTTATTTGTTTATAAGATGAAAATGAAAGCACATCTTAATTAATTACATATAATTATATTTGCTCTAATATATGCATATAAAATAGAGTGACATTGGGTTACATTGATCAATATTTTTTAGTATTAATATTTTAAGAAACTCAAAAAAGTCATTTTACTGATGAAGTTGTTCTTAGTGTTTTAGTTTTAGATGTCCAAAAAATGGGTTTTGCAAGATTATGTGGACAACGGTTTCAAATGGATTAAACCCAAGAGGACAACGGATCGATCATGTGGTGTGGTGGCCTTCAGAAAAAATGTACTCTATACCATTTCGATGCGTTTTTACCGAAACTGACCGGATCAGCCGATAGGGTTTATAAAAAAAAAAAAAACAATTAGGATTACGAAAGGTTTTTTTTTGACATTAGGAGAGAGCAAAAGCACCTAACTAAAGGGACCGTCTTGTGTTCTTGGTGAAAATTAAATGTACAATGGGACATACAATAACTAGAGAGATGATTTCTTGTATGGTCGGACTGAGACTAAAGCTACAAGTACGAGAATGTAACGATGGGAAAGAGAAAGATGCGACTCGTGATCATATCTTATTAAGTACACGTACTATGCAAATATGCAATAAACTTGTCTTCTCGCCAAAGCAAATTACACATATCTCCCTTCAATTTTCATTTGTCTAATTTTTTTATTAGACAAACAATTAAAGCTCATTCAACTTTTTGATTAATAAATTTAAAGAAAATAAAGAAAAATTAAATGAACACTAGCGTTACATAACGTAGAACACAATAACTAAACAGATGGCAGTTTCAACTATTGCATCCCACTCGGTCAAAAGAAGCCTTAGTAATGCACCGGCGTTGGAAGATCGTTACAAGGAGGCGGAGGATACACATACGGTGGCGGTGATGGCGGTGGCGGAGGATACAGATATGGTGGTGGTGGTGACGGTGGTGGTGGGGGCGGCGGAGGATACACATATGGTGGCGGTGGTGATGGTGGTGGTGGTGGTGGAGGTGAAAGATACACATATGGTGGAGGAGGCGGTGGAGGAGGCGGTGGAGGAGGCGGTGGAGGAGGAGGTGGAGGAGGCGGTGGTGGCGGTGGACTAGGTGGAGAGCAGCCGAAGGATGCACAATCAATAGGATAAGAAGAAAAAGATTTACATTCAGCGGGAGACCGTTGCATTGGCCTTGAAGGTAAACAATTTCTACGATCATCAAACTCTTGAAGCCTTAGACAAGCCGGTGGCTCACCGGAGAAGAAGTTATACGAGTAAGTGAAGTTCTCGAGGCTTGGTAATCGGCAGATGCTCTCCGGAATGTAGCCGGAGAATTTGTTATGCGCGATGTTTAACTGCTCCAAACTCTTCATATCACCTATAGTCTCCGGCAACGAACCCACCAAGTTGTTGTAACTCACGTCGAAAACCGTCAATTGGTTTAACATACCGATTTCCCGGTTTAAACAACCGGTTATCTGTGAGTTGGAGATAATGAGTTCGTGCAATGTTTTCCCCATTTTGTAGAAACTCGGAGGTACACAAGATCCTTGGAGATCGATGTTGGCCAAGACAAGAACCGAAACCGGAGAGTTTCCGATGTTTTTCGGTAACCTAAACTGGAATTTGTTGTCGTTAATGAAGAGAGCGTCAAGGTTTAGGTCAAAGAGTTGGTCAGGAACATCTCCTTGGAACTCATTGAACCTAATGTCGAGAAACTTCAAGGAAGGCAAAGAGAAGATTACTGAAGGAAACTCGCCGGAGAGTTTATTGTTGCTGACGTCAAGCTCATGGAGAAGCTCGAGACATTTTAGAGTTTTGGGAAGTTGACCTTGAAAACGGTTGGAATTGATATGGAACAAGGCAAGATCGGTTAAGAGACCGAGCTCTATAGGGAGATAACCGGCGATATTGGCATGGTTTAAGTCTATACCAGCGACGGTTAAGACATAAGGGTTATCTAAAGCCGGTGCACAATACACGCCTGTGTAGTTACAAACATGAGGACCACACCAGTTAGAAGTGAAGCCGTTTGGGTCAGAGGTTATGGTGAACTTCCAAGCTTGAAGAGCTGCATAAGCTTTTAAGAGCCTCGGGTTTGCGATAGGAGGAAGAAAAGGAGCATGTGCATAGCACGGGTTTATCGGAGGAGTATCATAGGTGAAAGCGTGAGGAAGAAGGAAGAGGAAGATGAGACCAAAGGCCATGAACCGCCATTGGAAAAAGAAGGTTTCTTCTCTCATGAGTGATGACTGATGAGAGAGTTTTTGAGATGGTTTTATGTTTTGGAAATGGAAGTATTATGTTGCATATGTATAGGAAATGGAGGTGTAACCACTTCCTTTGAAAAGTTATATTTTGATGTTGGAAAATAATTGTAGATGAGAATGGAGTCAGTCTTTGTTTATAGTGTGTTCATGTTTATTAATATTTTATAACGATGATTAATTCAAATGTGATATGATTGATAAGTTTTTGATATATTGGGTGACAGGGGAGCATTGATTTGACTTTCGTTGGTTTGGTAGAGAAGGTCAGAATTAGCAAAGAATGTTCTTTGTACCATAATAATAATTATGCATCTACAGTTTTATAATTTCTGTGTATCCACTTTGGCTAAAATATAAACACTTCTAATAACATATCCAAATTAAAATCTCAACAAAAATATTTCAAGCCAAAAAAGTTGCTTTTGAAAAATTTATGTAAAGACAAAAAATCAATGTAACTCCTAAATAAACCATTAATGACAATATTGGGATATGAACTCTCGAGCTACATGTGTTAGTAGCACAGTTGAAAAAGTACACGAATATGAATTATAAAAATTAATAAATAGTCTTTTAGTTATTTAATAAGTATGTCTATGACAATTACCTATTTACCTCGTTTCTTCGACACAAGTTTTGACTCCGTTAACATGATCCAGCACATAACCATGTAGTAATATATAAATTCATGGTTTCATATGGGGCATTTATAAATCATCGGATGGTTGTTACTTGTTAATTAATTACCACCAGAAACACGGTTTTAGTAAACTTTTAGACCATTATTGTCTAATTATAATATCAATTTTCCTAAAAAGCATGAAAACATATTTGAACACAAACCAAATGTTGAAAACTGTGGATGAGACAGAAACAAAATCTCCCCCTTGATCTTTACTTTAATTTAGACAACTTGTTGGTCTCTAAGACTAGTGTTTTTTTTTTTACTATCTGTGATCTATGTTAAGAACCCAATATCATTTTAAGAAAAGTTCTTAAACAATTTAATTTTAAGCACAATCACATGATTAATAATCACCTGAGGATTGTAAGAATTTTAGCTTGCATGTACTGAAATTATTTTGAGGGTTGGCGTGTAGTTAATATCGAAGCTTTTGACTTCCGTATATACGTATGTTTATACGTATGTACACGTATACGCAACTATTATTTATATTTTAGTTACCAAGCCACTTGAGATTTTTTTTTTCTGGTGATCTTAAGATTTCTTCAAAATCAAGTTCGATGGCTAAGCTAGGTCAAACGTATATCACAATCTCCGATTAACTACCAAAGATTCATACTGACATCACATTCATCCATAATGCAATGTATATTGATATGTATAATCTCCACTTGGTTGTGGAAAAAAGTGAATTACTTAACTTATAACTTTTGTACACTTTATTAAATTTTAAGACCATGATTATCAATAGGTTCTTAGAAGAATCTTAGGTAAATCTTAAGTATTAAAAAGTATTTAATTAAATGGCAAATGGTTATTATTGGTAAGAAAAGTAAGAAAGGTTTCTTACCTAAGAACCAAAAAGAGGTAAATCTTAACTTTGGTTCTTAGTAATAATACTATAAAATTACTAAGAACCAAAGTTAACAACCTCCCAATAATGTTGCTCTGGTACTTAAAAATGTCGCTACAACCTAATCCTAAGAAAAGTTGTAACGTTTTCCGCGATAGAATTCCTTTTTTGTGTCTTGGTCAGTCCACGAAATATGCATAATATATCATTTTGAAAATAATTGCTTCAGTAACCTATGTAAAACGAATCATGCGCTAACATGTTTTATAGCATAACAATTAACTTGTTTGTAGCATAACAGTAGATTACAACGATTAAATTGTGTTTGTTTCGTAGTTGCTGTCAACTATATATTTTTAACGGTAAAAAATGCCAAACTTTACCTCACCAAATTAATCGCCGAAACTAGTAACAGAGATATGTTGCCAAACTCTAAAACAAACAACATTTGGTCATCAACGACTGTAAACATTTCGGTTTCGCCCAAGGTCTAGCCCATTAAGTGGCCCCAAAGATTTTGTGATCCGATCCAGCTTCAGATTAATACAATTTAATTTTGTGATCCGATCGTAAAAAAAAATACTATATAGTATTTCTAAAGTTGATATAAAACAGTTAAGATGGTGACGTGGGCAGAGGGTTCGGGTACCCATTCGGTTCAGATCGGATATTTCGGGTTTTCGGATTTAGAGGTATAGAACCCGTTCGGGTATTTTTAGATTTCGGGTTCGGATTCGGATTTGGATTATCTGAAGGTCTCAAAAATCAAAATTTTTATGATCAAATATATCCAAACTATTCGAAAATATACAAAATATCTAAAAACGTTGAACATTTTTTATCCAAATTTATTCAAAAGTAGATTAAAAATCCAACACTTAGGTTATTACAATTATAAATATTAATAATATATTATTACTATATATTTGAATTGTTTGTATGTTCGGATACAATATACTCCCTCTGTCCCAATATATAAGATGTTTTAGACCTTTTCATTTGTTCCATTATATAAGATTTTTTCTACTTTCAATGCATGATTTATATTAGTTTAATAGTTTTTAATTATTTTAATTATGCAGTATCTTTTTCTATTGGTTGAATTTTCATAAATGAGAAAACATTTATTGTTTCTTAATCTATGTGCTTTTAGTCAAAATATCTAATAAAATGGGACAGAGGGAGTATATTTGAATTGTGGGTATGTTCGGATACCTGTTCGGATTCGGGTTCAATTCAGGTTCGAGTTTTCGGGTTTGGAAATCTAAAATCCGTTCGGATATTTTAAATTACGGATTCGGGTTCGGATTGAGTTCGGGTCGGGTTCGGATATTATGCCCACCCGGCATATACCAAACCTATTTGCCGTTCTCTATTGATAGCTCAAAATATATTTACACAATAGTCCAGATTTTTAACAAAAATTCAGAAAATGTCCAAAAACATTTAATGTAATAAAAACCCCCATAAGGAAAAAAGGCCCAAGGGCCCTAATTTATGTTGGGCCAGGGCTGAGTGCCATATATATTAGACAACCTTATAAACGTGATCACAATTCGCTATGTTACACAAACTAAATAATAATGACGTGAATTACTTCTAGTAGTTATCTCGGCTTCTACGAAAGAAATTACAATTCACGAAGATCTCTACGGAAGAAAATAATAATTGTCAGTTTCCTTTGAAAAGAGCATATCGTTATGTTAATATAATCACAATAAAATTCGTAACAAAAATCTAATATACGAAATTACAATAATTGTCAGTTTCTAAAGTTGATATAAAACGTGAAATTAATACGAAAGGGTGAGAGAACATTGAGAATTCTACTCTTTCTTTAACCAAATGAGACAAATTCTGCTGAGGTTATCCCTTTTGTCCACTACCCTACACCTCCACTCTCTATCGACCTCGTGTCATCTCGTACCTTTTTCTGTAGCGAGCTCTTCGGTCCGGTCCAGTCCAGACCAACATTCAGGTTCAGAAACAGAACTGTGGGTCCGTCCTATCACCTATGCCGCTGATGCGAGCCATGTGAGATTGGATCATGTTATTTTCTGCACCACAACAAAAACCAATGTGTTAGTAATTCAGGTTCATGAGTTGTTATTTGTTAATAGCTTATGCATGTTTAATCTCAAGTATGTATTATATATCTCTAAAAAAACTTCAACAATTGTAAATAAACAAAACCATTATAATGTCTTGATATGAGTTTCCAAGACATTGTCCAAGGATGCATCATCATTCATCGTATTATGTGTTCAAATTATGTTATATATGTGACAAGTTTCTGTTATTCCTAAAATATGTGACTAGTGAAAGATCCTCTTCCCCCCATGGGCTTCCCTTTTCAAGCGGCGATAATCTCAGTATCCTAACTTTAAAAACAAAATGTTTGTGGCCTTGGGACAAGTAGCAGCAACTAAAATTTGGCTTTAACTCGCACCATTGTTTTGTTGACACTCATGTCAAAGAAACCGATTTCAATTGAATCTTAAAGAAAAGTTAGAAGGTTTATTTTACCAAAAAAAAAAAGTTTGAAGGTGTAACAATAGTATCATTTATAAATTTTCAAAAAAAAAAATTTTGACAGCCACAATTTTTTAATTCTTTCTCCGTTTTGTACTCCTTGTTTATCGGACTGTAACGCCTTATTTTTTTTTATTGTATGCATTGTTTGTCAAACTATAACACCAATTCGTTTTTTTGTTAATATTCTTTCTCTTTATTATATTATTTATTTATCAAATTGTAACGCTTCATTTATTTTAATTGTATTTATCATTTATCAAACTATAACGCTAATCCGTTAGTCCGTATATATATAGGAATCCAAGGTATAATATGTAACTAGATAACAGCCCGCACTATGTGCGGGATAAAGTGATTCAAGTAAAATTATTATGATTAAAATTATTATCCGGAATCCAAGATTCGTTTATGTGAAACGAAACATGTAATAATTTTTTTATTCAAATTAGGGACTATTTCGTATAAATACGTTTTACCCGTGAAATATTTGAACCTGGAATAAAGCTTCAACGTGATAAGGAAAGTATTGACAAAGATTTATATAAATATATAAATATAAAGATTTATAATTTTAGATAAACAAAAAGTGTATGTTTTTTAATTATTAAAAATAGATCATTAATATAAATAAACATAGATATGAAAATTAGTTGCCTAATTATTTGCTTTTTAGTTATAATTTCGTTTTTTTTTTGTGTGATATATATATATATATATATATATATTAAGACTAATGGCAAAATTTGTAAATAGTCTAGTAAAATTTGGGTAATAATTTAAATGGGTGGAAAATCACTGTGAAAGCGACACGTCAGCATGACAATTTAGTTAATAACACGTCAAAGTAAGGTTTATTTTTTAGAATGCTTCTCTATTAATATATAAGGGATTTTGCAGATTTCCGTCCACTAGATTAGTTTGCCAGTTATGATCCATAATCTACCTTATGAAATTATAAACGCCTGAAATTACTTATCAAATAAAGGTTAAAACCATATATACAAGGGAACCACATATAAAGCGTTGAACC